ATATATACAAGTAATAATAATTGGAGGTATTTAGGTCCCAGAAGTAAAAGAAGATTAATGTATAAATGATTACGAGTCGTAATACGACATGTAATTCAAAATTACTTGGTTCGACTTATAACGCGACTTTCTTTTATTACGGTTCTTTGAGTAGATGATGTATCTGGAAGTCTTAGCAGTTTTATTTCGTTTGCTTGGTTTCCTTCCGTAAACACAACGTTTCGAAAGGAGTGCATGACAATGACAGCACCACAACTCGTAACAACGGTTTTGTTGACAAACTACGCATTTGTTGATCAAATATACATGTAATGTAAGTGTAAATGTTGTTATAAGGACGCCAGGAGGAGGGATGAGAAGGAATGGGTGTAATTCTAGCATTTTATCAATAATATCATCACTCACACAGACGTCACACGACAGAAGTGAGCGAGAATGGCCATGGAATTTGAAAGAAAAAGTACACTACACACACGCCACGGGACTAATTGTGACCGACACGTGTAACCTACTTGCAGTTCTACTTTAAGCCTACTTGTTTTGGTCTTCGTTGTCAAAGATCTTGAGTAACAGAGGGAGGGCTGTCACCCACATTGACACCCCCCCCCCCCCCTTCACCCTCCGCACACACACTCACACACTCCAATATATCATGACTAATATTGTGGGCTTGCCTACATAGTCACTAAAAGGGCAAGACGGCAATTATTTACTTTCTCGCATATAATTCCAGCCGGCCGCGCCTAGATCTAGACGAAACTAGATCTATCCCTGATTGAAGAATACGTAAACCACGACTATTTCATCATTTGTAGATAGTCTAGTATTAGTAACATTTTAGGCCTTCCACGTTCTGATTTTGATGGATGAGTAGCATAATAAATATTTCAGAGTTCAGATTGGTAGCTCGTTACGGAAGTCCTCCCGTGGAATTAAACGCGAGAAAGTAAATAATTACTGGCAAGACTTCTGTAACGAGCGACCACCCCAACAATAAAAGATCTCGACCTAGTAAATAAATACTAACCCTAACACTAACCCAAATCCAAATCCAAACCCTAACCCTTACCATACCCCTGCCCCTGTATTCTACTCTGTCTCATAGTGGTCGCTCGTTACGGAAGTCCTCCCGTACATAGAATTGGGAAATGCCTTGGGAACTGTATCAAATGCTAATTTTTATAGAACTTGGTGTTACTGTTACATACACCTGGTTTGGAGTCTTGTCAAGGTATAAGGTCTATTTTAAGTAAACACAACAAATAGAGCTCTTTCGGTTTTGCTTAGTGAACGAATCTCCCCTGTAGATTTTAGTCTATATACTATCTACTTCTAGTGTACACACTGTGTATAGTAGGCCTCTATGAATGCTGAATACATTCGAACATTTAATTTTATACACACAAAATGTTAGTGATGTTGTATGTAAACCTTTTGACCCCAGTGCATTCGAGATGCTTTCTTCCAGGGCTTCCAGTCATGCCCTTCCTCAAACTTCCTGAGCCGCCATTAATTTTTTTGTATAAATCCCGCTCTCTGAATTTTGTTTTGAAATAAAATTGCTATCTATAACGTGCTTTCTCGTTTGGAATCATTAACCTGAGCCTTAATTTGAAAAAGAAAAGAGCCGGGAGAAGCGCTGTCAGCTGTAATCCTCCCGCCCCTTTTTTCATGAAATATCTTGCTAGAAGTGTACTTTAAATATTTTGATTTTAAACTGGATCAAAATTGGACCACATCAGAGAAGAATTTTCACAAGATCTTTCCAAGTCACCGAACAGCTGATCTATAGCCATTTTAAAGATATTAAATTTTACAAGAGGATACATTGTTCAAAGTTGTAAGTTACTGCTTTATTTCTGTACATTTTCTCTAAATAATAAATGAGATTTATTACCCCCCCCCAAAAAAAATAAAAATAAATCACCTACCAAATTGTTTTCATTCTACATGTACTGACACCCTTTTGATCCTGTACCTGTATAATATAAATCTTTTGCCTAGACAATTTGATTATATTTTACATGAACTGTGCAATTCCTTGAAAAAGGTAGAGCAAAAAGTAAATGTTATTTTTAAGGTCTGGGGGCGGGGGGTGTCGAGGTGCATGGTTTAAATTTGTTCTGTGGAAAGAATCATTTCTGCAGAGAGATCTGATGTGGTTCAGATTGTAGACTGAGCAAAAAAAATAAAAGAAAGAATATCTCACATTTCGGGGTATTGAAATTACATATATATATATATATTATATTATATA